TGCTTAGGTGGGGTCTCATGTAGGACAGAGACTCTGTTAGCAGCATCCTGGGTCACAGGATAGCCCATCAGTCAACGGTGGCCATAAATGGTCTAAACTCCATAGATGGCAGTAAAGCTGACATGTCTCATTGCCTAGCGACTGCATGGCCACCATCATGCTGTAGTGCAGTGAATTACTCACATGTTCATGGTGAAGTTGTGTTAAACAGGCTTACTGTGCTGCCAGGCATGTGGATGTCTAGCTCCTACAGGTGCGTACAATATACAATACCTGAAAGTTTTGTAACAGTCATTAGTAGCTTGGGTATTTAATGTTATTTAAGCTTTATCTTATTTTAGAGTATTCTCACTCTCTTCTGGGACAGTGCTGTTTTCTGCCTGTGGTGGCCTCGGGCATCTTGAGTTTACTCTAGCTCCTGACTGCATTAAGACCGCACTGAACGAACCCTCTCCTCCAGTTTTGTTTAAATTCACTCTTGACGTCTGCACACTGACAAACCTGAGCATCTCTAAGAAGTGTCCCTGTCATTAAGTGGCACATGACTGGGTTCACACTATCAGCTGGCACTTCAGTCTCATCAGGGTTTATGTCGGGGTGCGGGGGAAGTGGGGGAGTCCTGGATCAAAAGGGAATAGGGTTTGGATGGAGACCGGTTCAGACTAGTTTGCAACCACGCTGGCTTCCTCTAGGTGTGTGCAGCCTGAGCCTACTTTCAACTTTTAGTTAACTAAAGAATGTAAGCACAGAACCATTTTATTTTCTCAAAACCCTTTTGTAGTTTCTATAGTGACATGTGCTACAACTTATGTCTAAGGGAGGCTGTCTGAGCCTATGAAAGGCAGCACAGACTGAAAACAGTTCAAAAGATCATGCTGATCTCAGATCCCATGTGGTAAACACAGCTCACAGCCCCAAGATCTTATCACCCTGGCTTCTTCATCCCTAGTCACATCTTCTGTCTTGACATGTGAGTCCCAGCAAATGCATATTCTAACATTCAACATGAATTGGGATAGTGCAAGCCACTAGGGTAGATAATAAAATACTAACAACTTCAGTTCTTAACTTAGTGAAAGCATATAGTTTTAAAAGGATGCATGCATACTTTAATGTGGAAAATTGTATGGATATTATTTGAGGAAATTGGTTATTTATTGGTGGTTATAGAGTTACATGAAATCCATACATCAAAATAAGTAGCAAAAACAGCTTCCTTTGAAACTTCAACCAAATCAGTTTTAATTTGCATGCACCCAGAGTCCCGAGGACCTTGTTGCAGGCAGCCGCGGTTCTGACCAACATCAAAGATGCCAGAGATCAAAACAAAATTGAGCTCTGGGGCAGCAATTCTCTCACTTCCCTTCTTAATAGGCGTGCTTGTCTCCTCTCTTGGTGTTGGTCAGTTCAAGGCGATATCAAAGTCTGTGAGCGCCACTGATGTTCACATGACTCCCTCCATCTTCACCTTGCAAGTGGCGGACAGGCGGAAAGCCAGACACAGAGTGAAGGCCGCTGAACAGACTCTGGAAACTTGAAGCAGCTTGCAGAATGATCAACTTCCATACTGCTCTATCTTCTCTCTGGAAAGGCTACAATTGCTGTCACAGGACTAGATTTATCTGACCATGCTTCCCCTTTCCTTTCAACTCATTCTGTAGCATGTGATCAATGTGAAAATCTCCAATGGCCTTGTTGAAACTGCCTGAAGAAAAAAAAAAAAAAAAGGAAAAGTCCTTTTTCGGGTTCTTCATTTGTTGGGTGTATTTGTTGCAGTCTCTTTGCTTTGTTTTCACAGAGGAGAAACCAGAGCCAATCAGACAGTAAGCTTCTTGCTGGCTTAAAATCAGGCTGGTGTGGCTTAAGGCACGCTAACACTTCCAAAGATCATTTTTTTTTTGTGTGTGTGTGTGCGACAATGATTGAAAGTAGCATAGAAAATAACACAACGGGATTCAATTCACGTGACAAAAGGAAATTGTACAAAGTTTAATCCATTCCCATTACAGTCTCAAGATTGTAATCTCCTTGGATGCTGAGCCTAGGAGTGATTTTTCTCCCCCGACAGTATGCATCATCAAGTTGCTCTCAAAGTGCTGCTGTGGGATGGAGGGAGGCGGCTCAAGTTATATAACATGCAATTTAAGATAATGGCCTTTGAAAAGGAGAAATTAATATAAACAGAGGAGGCCAACAAAGCCTCAGTCATCTCGAAGGTGGTTTCAGTCACCACTGACATTAAACAATATCCCCCCCTCCACTGAGCCCACACGATGTTTATTATCATTTAATTTCTCGCCCAAATCGAGCCTTTCTTATCATGGTGTCGCAGGGATTGCAAGCTCTGCTATGACTACAATTGGGAGAAAAATGCATTCGTTGGAGTGAGTAACGAGATGCAGAAATGGAGCTCTCTATCCTAACCTTTGGAGGCTTTTAAACATTCAACCAAAAGCATTATTAAAAAAAAAAACGGGAGCGCTAGCGTTTCTGTAATTATTCCAACACTGTCTTTGTTCTTGTAATGATAGAATCCATACTTTCCATTTGCAGGGCTTAATAATAGCAGCTGTCTTGTCTGCTCAACTGTGGGGTTTCAGGGCTCCCATAATTATTCATTTTCACTCACTTGACAGTGGGGTGTTTCCTTGAAATATTTCAGGCCACATCACAAGAAGGAATCTCAAAACCCCTTTAAGGCGTCTGCTATACATAACAATATTGAATTATGCATTCATAAAACAAAGTTAATTGACTCAGAGGTGCAGAAGCCCTAATTCACAGCACACCTTAGGACTGAGACCATTGGACACACAGAGGCAAGTGTAATGACTGCATCATTAATGCATGAGGGTTGGCTCTCTATTAGACCCCAAACCACCCATTCTGTTCTGTGTCTTTTCCTCACCAAACCTTCCCTCTTCCTTTTCATTTTCTTCTTTTTCTTATTTTTTTTTAAGCAACATGTGATGGAATAATTTTAAAAGATTTGCATACATACTACAGTGATTCTGTCTTCCTCCTCTTTCCCCTTATATTTCTTAATAAAATGTATTAATGAATAGCTGAAAAGTAGTGGGTGGGGGGAACCCAGAAATCTATCCACAGACAATACAAAGGGCACTCCATCCTTCTGATATGCATGGCACTAATTACAATAATAAATAAAATATGAATATGTGGAATAAACAGGGTAAATCACTTTCCATTATTATTTGTTCTAAATGGAAGGGTCGTTTCGTGGTGAGAGAATACACCCCCCCCCCATACACACACTCATGTGTCACCACTGACGGCGGTGGCAGCGGCGGCAGGCTTTAGTTTATGTGCACAAATTGCGTTTTTCTGACTGTGTTTATATGTGCCAAGAGAGTGGTTCCGAAGACAGGGAAGGTAGTTTTATGGACAAGCCTGGAGAGAAGCTGCAGAAGGTAATTGAAAGAGAGGTTTTTATGACCTAATCGGGGCCGGTGCACATGTGTGTGGTGTGGGAGTCAAGACAAGGGTGGGTGCTATGAGACAGCTAGAGGATATGCCCAGGTTACTTCTGCTAGAATCCAAGGACTCTTTGTTGGTCCTTTTATTACAGGATTTGTCTCAATAGTAGGATAGAGGAAAGATGTCACGTGTGGGTGGATGACAATCTCCACTTATTATAAATAATTCATCCTGATTTTTAAACACAAATGGATTATATGTTTTCTATCATTATAAAATTAGCAAGCATTTTAATTTAATTTATTTAATTAGTTTATAATTAAAAAACTCTTTAAAAATGTATATGTCCTTGGTACTCCTAAGTGGCTTTTGTAAATTCATAATAGCAAGAAAAGACTCACACTTACCTCACTTATTGGTAGTCACTGAACAATGAATTCAATTTATTTTCAATTTATTAATTTCTTTCTAAAGACTGCTACTTAGTTTTGTTAAATTTTGGTTTGGCTATTTTTTCGACTAAGTAAATTTGATTTTTTTTTTCCCATCTAGTTCTGAAATTGGGGCTCACACTAGCCCACAGATAATACCGTTTATTCTCTGCACACTATAAAAATGACCTAGAAAATGTTCCTCACAATAGGTAAACAGATGTGAGGCTCATTTCTGGAACATACCAGAGACCACTTGGAAGGCGGATGTGTTTGACCCTCCAGTTTGTGCACAGCGCCATGCCTCAAGAGGCCGAGTGGGCCCTGCTCTGGGATCACACCTGGAGAACTGCTCACCCATCATTTGGATTTCTGTCAGTGCCATTTCCTCTTTCACAGCTTCTGTGACGGGTCTTTCTAAGAGATGGGGGCGAAGTGCTGCCTGCAGCCCCAGCTTCTCGATCAACATGTTCTCAGGACGACTGGTGGAATGAGTTTTTCTACGAAGAGGGTCAATGTCAAGCATGGCCCAGAAAAGCTCAAGTGTCATGACAGACTGTAAGAGGAGGCAGGTGTGAACAAACTCTTCCAAGAATCAAGATTGGTAGGACACGAATTATGGTCCTTGGGTGTTGGGGTCACGAATAACCTTTCACTCACAGATCACCAGAGAAACCAGGAATGTCTATCATGCAGGGATGTCTCCTCAAAGGAAGAAACACCTGCTTTTTGGCCAGAAGGCTGGGAGTGGATATTGTTAATGACCTGGTGACCTTTGCCATCAGGAGAGACAGACCTCACCCAAATCACTCAGAATGTTTATCCCAGACTCTCCCTCCCTAGACTTCATCCTTAGCTCCCAGCCAATAGAACCCATCCTTAGGGGGAGATGTCACATGTATTTTATGGCTTGCTGACCCCAATGCTATCTCAGTCAGGGACCACACTAGATTCTAGACTTTTAAACTATAGAACCTATCTTCAAGGTCACATGTACTTTGCAAAGAAATTTCTAAGTAGTCACACCTTCAGCTTTATTGTGCACCTGGAATTGGAATGATTGTTGCCTGGAAACCTGGAATGGGAATGATTGTTGCCTGGAAACTTTCCCCCAAACTGTACCGTGTTTAAATGTGCTGGCAATGAACTGCCTGGCATCTGACTCTCTAGCTTGATCCAGACTGATTAAGTCAGGGTGAATCGAGTTTTCATCCTCGCTTCTTCATAACGAATTTCCCCAACTGCCACGATGCTTGCAAGAATCCCTGAACTTGAGTATTAGAATCAGCAATGACCCAAACCTGTGGAGCATCCAGTGGGCAGGGTAGCATTTCGAGGACAGTTGAATGCTCATATATAGCGCACCATATACACGGGGAGAGGCCATCTGCCACGCTTTTGGAGGGACATGATCACATTTGGGAATTACACTAAGTGAAATAGAATGTTCAGATTCCTGGATTCTCACGAGTCAGGCTTCAGCTGGAGAACTTCGTGATAGACACAAGTAGAAATAAATAAAACTACCAGGGTGACCTAATGGGGACCCACTCAGGTCAACTGAGAGTTTGAGACAATTTTAAGGTAAAAAGTCCCCAAAGCATTTCTTGAAACCCATGCTTTAGAATGTTTGTTTCAGTTTAACAAAATATCTGTCTGTCATTTATATGTAGCAAGATCCAGGTGAGATCCTGAAACTGAAATACTGAGCCAAAGAGCAGACTGCAGGTCTACGAGCTTATGATTGGACAGGAACATGCAATCATCAAGCACAATTATAACCGAGGGCGGTTTGAGCTTTGCCAGAACCAGATTCAATGGAGAGCAAAAACTCAGGTGTGTATAATGGGTGCTGGGAAAACTTCCCAAGCAAAATACTAGCTTTCTGATGGCTTGGATCATCAGTCAGCCTCAGTCTTTGGAAGTTAGAAGAAAGAAAAAAAAAAAAAAAAGAGGACAGTAAAACCAAATGCACCAAAGTGGAGGTTTAAAAATAAAAGCATGTGTTAAAAAATGCAGACTTTACCAGGTGTGGGGAGGTGAGAAAGAGGAGTCAGGAGTGGTAATTAGGCCTCCTTTCTGTGTGTTCTTGTCTCAGCTAGGGTTTACTATTGCTGTGAAGAAACGACGAGACCAACTCTTATAAGAAAATCATTTAATTGAGGGGGCTGTCTTATAGTTCAGAGGTTCAGCCTATCGTGGTGGGGAGCATGGTGGCATGCCGGCTGGCATGATGCTGGAGAAATAGCCCAGTCTTCTACAACTTACAGGCAAACAGGAAGTTGACTGCCTGTCACACTGAGTGGAGCTTGAGAAAAAGACCTCAAAGCCCGCCTCCACAGTGACACACTTCCAACAGAAGGTGTGGCCCAGATTAAAGGTGTGCCCTCCAGCCTCAAAATCTAGATTAAAGGTGTGTATCATCCAGCCTCCTCCAACCAGACCACACTCTCTCCAACAAGGCCACATCTCCTAATAGTGTCACTCCCTATAAGCTTGTGGGGGCCCAATACATTCAAACTACCCCAGTTCTGTTGAAAGTGAGCACGTGATCTAGATAACAGTTAGAGGGCCTTTGGAGATTATACCGCTTGTACAGCCCTTCTGAAAGCCTCTGCCACAGGAGTTCACACCCCAGGTCTTAGGTGTTCAGAGTTCTTGATCTAAATGATTGGCCCATGCTCTTCCAGATATGTCTTTGGAAAGTGGGGACACTTGGCAGTACTCAGTTCTTCTTCTTGACCTTGGGGGTAGTTATTATGGGAGGTGATGGACTCTGGTGTAGGTGGTCATGTAGGGCTTTGTGTCTACCGGACTGTCCATGTCAAGGGGCACACCCATATTGACACATTCTAAACTTTGCCATTTAAAGTGAGCTCCTGGGATTGTCGCTTGTCCCCCTTCTGAGCTTTTGAGCAGTAGGCAAGGAAGCATCACTCTCTTGCCTTTATTTCTTATTCCTAAAGAAGGGTTTCACCGTGTTAGGCACACACTGTAAATAAAAGCTTTGTAAATTCCACTGCTTCACAAGCTTATTGTATTTGGTAGGTAATAGTTGCCCCCACAGAATAAGTAAACACATATATGTAAATAAGTAGATCCATATGAGGGCAGACAGCCTGCTCCTGGAGCCTGACAATTCCTGACAGAAAATCAATGTATAGTGGTTCTGGAAACAGAGACCATTGAGCTAAATGTTTGTTTACCTTCCAGATAACTTCAGTTTCTGTTGTCCTGGGGATGGTGAAAAGAGGTATTCTCACCTCATAAACCCTTTTGTGGGTCAAGACATCTATCTGCCACATGTTCACTCAAATGCTAAATTCTTCCTTGATGCATTTGACAGAGCGAAGACAGCTGAGTGACAGGGAATGGTACAAATAATTTCCACGTATGATAATTGTTTATCCATCTTCAAGATGCATTCTATTTAGACCCACATTGGAACAAAGGCACGGGTGTGTTGAAAGCTGATAACATACACACCGAACAAGAAGGAAAGGAATATCCCCTCAGCATATGTCAGGGTTCAAATACTTCTGCTAGGACATAAAGACTCCCTTTTGTTTAAAATTTAATACGTGGTTTAATATTTGTGGTTTCTAGTTTTCCACTCCAGACTCAAGAACTCTTCTTTTTAAAATATGTATTACCATCTTGACTACCTTACTAAACTCTGTTATTGGTGTTTGAAAGTCATGCATGCATTTATCAATTATGATTATACGTTTATTGCCACTCAAAAGTCAATAGCTTAATTTTTAAAATTAGCCTAATTTCCATTGCAGTGGGAATCTCCTTGATCTTTCCAATGGTTTCGGAGCTGAGGGTTTTAATTGTGTTAAGCAAAGTGGTTTCTGTGTGGTCATTGAAATACACTGACCTGGGATATGTGCTGGATGTCAAAAATCCTCTTAAGTAGGTATTTTATGCTTCTCTTAAAGCACTTACCACCCCTCCTCCTTTATGTATAGAAGAAAATCAGATAATGTACCTTTCTACCATTAGTCAAGTCTTGTTTGTGTGGATCCACCTGAGAAGTATATGCGAGGAGCCTCAGGTGATGGCATTCCCTCTTGTCAGTCAGATTTAGGCTACAAGTGGCTTCCTTTATAGCTTCCTTCGGTTTTGCTTCAAGTGCTGCTGAAGCTTGGAGGCGTTTCTGTCTTTGTAGTCCTGACACCAAACACTGTGCTGGACACATAACAATAACACTCATATTCAATACAATTATTTGTATATGGATGTGGGAGGTGGGTAGGTATATGCACATGAATGCGGGGCTTCCAAAGACCAGAGCTGCTGGATTCAGACCTGGAGTTCACAGGTAGTTGTGAGGTGCCGAGTACAGGAGCTAGGAATGGAACTCTTGGGTCCCCTGAAAGAGCAACATGCGTTTTTTACTCCGGAGCTGTCTTTTCAGCTCCTGATTTATTTTATTTATTTATTTATTTTGAGGCAGCGTCTCATGCTGCAGCCTTGGCTGGCCTTGCACTCATAGCAATTCCCCTGCTTCAGCCTTTCAAGTACTAGGATTACAGATGTAATCTACCAATGCTTAGCTTTTAGCTAAATAATATCACTCACTCACACACACACACACACACACACACACACACACACACACACACACACACAATATTTTCTTTATTCATTCTTCTGTCAATGGGCAGCATCTGTGATTCTGTATCTTAAACCTTATTATTTTCAAGGCTGCATATTCTTCCATAAAAGCATTATGTTATAATCATTACAATATTTTGAAACTATTTTCTTTTGGTGGATATTTGAGTTATTCTTTTACTAAAATTTCAGCATAAATATATTGAATTCAGGTAGAATCCCTTGAGACGGAATATTTATCTTAAAAGTTACAGGTGTTTTAAGTGTTACAAGATACTAGTGAAATTGAAATTGAGCTTCACCTTTTGTGGGGAAATCATAGAACTGTTTGACAATCTTGATGATAGTTCTCATGCTACACTCTCAATGAATTATACCAATATCCTCTGGAATTACCTGGCATGCACGTTAAGAACCCCTACCTTTCACATTAACTGCTGAGGTTGGTCTTATTGTGAATGGTCTCAGCTTCTGGTGGCAATGTGACCTGCCAGCTTGCCTTCAGAAGACAGACATTCTCTGAGAGGAAATTACAGGTCTCGAGTTACTATCTTTAACTTGTCTCATGTAAATCCTGAGCTCAGCTTACCCCATTTCAAAGGTGAATGCTTCTCATTCAGTGCAGCAGGCTCAACTCATCAGTGTGGTTTTGCCATCATCCTCACTGCTCTAGACAAAACATCCAGGACATGGGAGTCCATATTGTTGGCCTCTAATCTGAGCTTGTCAGGTTGAGTTAAACAAGTTCCCTTGTCAGGGTTGCAGTAGATCCTGATAAGGAACCCCAAGTGAAGGTAAGAAGAGATAGAGAAGTGAAGCCTTGGTCCGTGGACATGCAGAGCCTGACCCCCCCCCCAAGACCATTGGATACTTCCACTAGCCCACTACAGGGGCAGAGAATGAGAGCAATTGCAACTTCATCATGCTTCAGTCAAAACAAACCAATAAAGACCCAGGTACCAACTCTAGCATCTGCGTCTCATACAGGCCTTTGTGATGCCCCATGCTCTTCAGTGGGACAAAGGGGAAAAGCAGCTGGTTCTCTGGCCCATGTACCAAGGAAGCAGAGCCTGAGATCGAATGGCCGGTGGTTTCAGCTGTTTCCAGGAAGATGGGAGGCACTGCTTAAGGGACTGGAGCTTATTTATAAGAGAATGCAGAATCTGCAGCTAGAAACGACAGAGGTCTTGTTATTTCACATCTGACACAGAAGCATTTGGAGATGGCAGAGAACCGACTTTGAAGAGTGGGCAAAGCAGTGAGTTCTGCTTATTGTCTCCTTCCTGTGCTTCAACACTAGACTTTAAAGACAGCAGAAGGCCTTTTTGGTCTTTATCAAAACAAATATGCCATTTTCCCCTTTACTTTTTAACCTGGATCATTACTGTGTTACATTTGAGCCTCGTTAGAGAATAAAGTCTAAACCCAACTTTAGAATGGTTCTAAAATGTAGTGTTTGTTTTATGGTAAATACTACTGTGATGGTGATTCTTGGTTGTCAACTTGACTGTATCTGGAATGGACTATAATCCAGAAATGGAGAGCATACTTGTGATCTGGATTTGAAGCAAGAAGACAACATGCTTTTGATCTGGATCTTGAGGCTGGAAGACTCACCTTTAATCTGGGCCTCTTGCTGGAAACCTATATAAGGACAATGGAAGAAGGAAGGGTTGGTTCTTCACCTGCTTGCCCTCACCATGTCAGCACATCCGTTCCTTCACTGGCATTGGAGCCGACTTCTCTGGGATTCCAGTACATACAGAAGATCAGCTGAGACACTCAGCCTCATGGGACTGAGCAACTACTAGATTCTTGGACTTAGCATTCACAGCTAGCCATTGTTGGCCTGCAGCCTGTAAGTCACTCCAATAAATTCCCATTTATATATATGGGAATATATATATATATATATATATATATATATATATATATATGTGTGTGTGTGTGTGTGTGTGTGTGTGTGTGTGTGTGTGTGTGTGTATAAAATAATACAACTACCATAGACAAACTTGAAGTCTATGAAAAATATTACTAGTAAAAATTATACCAGACTTATTTGTGTGTGTATGATATAGATGTCTCATTTATAGTCAAATACTCCCTCTTATTATCTGCACATTGACAAGGTGTGGATTTCTGTATTAGTTGCTGTCTACTTCAAAAGAAGCTTCTTTAATGACAGGTGCTCTTGGGAAGAACCATTGCTACCC